GCTGACTGTTTAAATTTCCTATAATAACCTAAGGGGCACCTATACTTTGGTGCTAGAAGGCTGAAATCCACCAGAAGATTACTGCCAATGATTGATGTGAGAAATCCTATGAAAAATGTGTTTCTGGTCAGTACCTCAGTATCTCTGGAACAGGCTAGGCAGCATGTAGCCAAGGGTAAACTTCCTCCACTCTTTCAGCATGGTTTGATTTTTATCCCCTGTCCATGTAGTCTCAGGGTAATTATCATAGCAATATGGTTTGAATTCCTTGTTCATATTTATGTGTTCTTTTTGAAAACAGTACCTTAGAGACCAATTTACTCTCTTAGTGAACATTGCTTTGAAATTGTGCTTTTCTTGGGGGGGGGGGATATTTTCTTGGTTTTTCATATTTTTACTGTTTTGGGGATGGGCTCTGGGCATCTGAATTTAGCCTGTTTGTTGTCTTTTCCTGGAATTTTTTAGCCCAGGATGGAATCCCAAGGTGAGGCTTCAGGGTGGGTTTCTTTGGGGGTGTCTCAGGAGGGCAGAACCAGGCTGGGGGTCTAGGTAGAAGGGTAGGTTATCCTACTAGGTCCAGTTGTGGTCTAAGCCTACAACCATGTGAAGAGCCTGTGTACCAAGTCCAGGCCTAGAATGACAGCTGCAGCCACTCGATTGGGATTTAAAGGTGTGTACGGGTGGCGGGTCTGAGTGGGTCAGGGACTGTAACCTGGGTCAGAGGAGTGACTCAAAGAACGGAGGTGGAGCAAATTCAGAGTGATTTGGGAAAGGGTGTGGCTTGGGCGGAGTCGGAAGTTTGAGGCCCCCAGAACCTTAGGTGGAGTGGGTGGGACCAGAGCAGAGGTGGAGATTAGCCACCGTCTGACAGGACCTTGGGGGCTTTGGGGCCTAGAAAACTCCAGGGAGACCTAGGAAACACTCCACTCAGGGAGCAGAGTGGTGTAGAACTGGACCGGGTCTCGGCGGGATGCAAAACCTAAGTCACAGGAACCACACAGAGCAGTTGGTGCAGAGTGGATGAGGGGTGAGTCCGGGAGGGACCCTCAGGGTGGAGGAAAGTGTGGATGGAACCAGAGAAGACTCCTGGTCACGTGATTGGAGTGGGCCATTACACTGCAGTCAGAGTTGGGGTAGGTTATCCTACTAGGTCCAGTTGTGGTCTAAGCCTACAACCATGTAAAGAGCCTGTGTACCAAGTCCAGGCCTAGAATGACAGCTGCAGCCACTCGATTGGGATTTAAAGGTGTGTACGGGTGGCGGGTCTGAGTGGGTCAGGGACTGTAACCTGGGTCAGAGGAGTGACTCAAAGAACGGAGGTGGAGCAAATTCAGAGTGATTTGGGAAAGGGTGTGGCTTGGGCGGAGTCGGAAGTTTGAGGCCCCCAGAACCTTAGGTGGAGTGGGTGGGACCAGAGCAGAGGTGGAGATTAGCCACCGTCTGACAGGACCTTGGGGGCTTTGGGGCCTAGAAAACTCCAGGGAGACCTAGGAAACACTCCACTCAGGGAGCAGAGTGGTGTAGAACTGGACCGGGTCTCGGCGGGATGCAAAACCTAAGTCACAGGAACCACACAGAGCAGTTGGTGCAGAGTGGATGAGGGGTGAGTCCGGGAGGGACCCTCAGGGTGGAGGAAAGTGTGGATGGAACCAGAGAAGACTCCTGGTCACGTGATTGGAGTGGGCCATTACACTGCAGTCAGAGTTGCGGACGGGGGGCAGAGGCAGGTCCACAAAACTCACTGTTAGATAAAAAGGTGGCAGGGGTCAGGATCGCCCTGAGACAGAAACAAAGAGGACTCTGGCAAAGGAAGAGTTTAATTAGCTGTGGCAGGGCTGGTCCTCAATTCCGGTGTGAGGAAGAACCAGAAGCTTAATGGCTGCAGAGGGGTAGCTTATAAAGGGAAAGAATGAGGCAAAAGAGAATATTTTTGTGCTGTTTGGGACTGTTTTGGGGCCTGCTTGCTCAATGGAGGGTGTGGGGTCTGTACCTGGTGAAGCATATTGGGGAAAATATCTACTGTAAAACACGTTTTTCTACAATTACAGAGTTCAAGGACTTAATTGCAGCTAAGGGCTTGGGAAAGCTATTTGTCAGCCAGTGGGGCACGCTCTGGTGATCACAATACATTGGTCATTAACTTCCCTGGAGCTGCTTTTTTTAACTTGCAGGTGTCTGGGAGTTGGTTGACAGCTCCTCTTAGGCGCCTCATGGTTTCTGGAGCTGGGGTCGCCTAGATCTGAGCCCTATCACTCACCAGGGCTTTAAACACTGTTTATCCGTACTCTGCGGCAAGGATAGGAGGTCACAAAATTCGGTTGCAGATATTTGGGTTCGTTTTCCTGTGCATCCTCTTACATTTAGATTATTAAAGGTTTTTACATTCAGGAAAATTTAAGATCATATGAATTAAGACAAATCCTGATTTTTATCAGCAATTTTATGGTTTTCAAAATATTCTCTTAAAAATAGTTATGTACACTATTTAAATTAATGTGCAAATATGGAGGAGTGATCTCCAGTGTACAGGAATTACTTCAATTGTTCCTCCCCGTGCTGTTGTGGACAAAACAAAGCCCTTCCAGTGCAAATTCATCCGTGCATTCTGACTGGCTTGTTTTACTTTTCTGTGTCTGTGTGGCATGTGGAGATGGGGACATGCCATCCCTAGAAAGCTTGTTCGAATTAGTCACACAAGGAATGATTCTAGATTGTGTTGAATCAGAAGATAGATTTTCGCAGACATCCACAGTTTTAGTTGCAGGTATTAACACTTATGAAATAAACTTTCAATTCGCCGTTAATGTTCCATCTGAAATATATAACATGATATAAATCCAACATTAAAATGAGTATTATTATGTTAAAGTCTCAAAAATTTTCGATCCTATGGTCCATAAAAACATGGTATGAGCCCAGCATGGGGACACACGCCTTACATCCCAGCACACTGGAGGCACAGGCAGGTAGATTTCTGTGAGTTCAAGGCCAGCCAGCTCTACTTGGTGAGTTCCAGGCCAGCTGAGGCTACAGAAAGACCCTGTCTGAAGAAAACGAAAAAACAAAACAAAACAAAACAAAAACATAGTATGCGTGTTGAATACTAGGGTATCCTGCCCTGGTATTTCCACAGTTAGAAAAGGTGTTAGAAACTATGACAGTGTCAAAAAACATCTTCAGAATAGTTATGATCGCTCACTCCCTACATCAGAGAATGCCTCCCACTCTCTTTGGTTTCCTTGATTCAAGGAAAGCAATTTGCCTGTGGACATGTGGTCAAACTGTTATTCTTCATTTCAGGCTGTGTTGACATTCAGTGATGTGGCTGTGGACTTCTGACAGGAGGAGAGGGAATTTCTAGATCCTGCTCAGGAGGCTTTTCACAGAGACCTGACGCTGGAGAATTACAGCTATCTTGTTTTTGTTGGTGAGAATATTTTTCTTACAGAATTTCTTGCTCATACGCAGAGTTCCTTGGGGAACTCCTATGTCTGTGTGTGTTAACTGTGTGAATGAGTCTCACATCTCATAAAGTGAAATTCTCAGAGGAGAAAAGAACACTGTAATGTAAATTTGTCTGTTCTCATGTTTGTCTTTTGGGAGGGGTTATGCTTTTTCAGAAACTACCTAGTAAGTTCCAGGACAGCTGGGGCTACAGGGAAACCCTGTGTCAAAAAGACTGGAAAAAAAAGAGAGAGAGAGAAAGTTTACCTTAGTTGTCACTATACATTTTCCTTGGAAAATAACAAGAGAATGGATGTAACATGCTCTAATCAAAGAATGCTAATATTGTGAAGGAGTGTGCATGTTAACTACATAGCATGAGTCATGTGTGTGTTCTCTTCAATCATCACGATGCACATAACAAATTCATAGCTCTTTTCACAAAATAAATAAGTCATTATAATCAAAGTGTCAATTATTATTATCTAGAGATTCTTTTCACATTGAGAAATGTAACGTGAGGGTGATGGAAAATTTTGGAGGTAACCTAACCTTTCCTCAGGTATTTGCTACTCTCGGTTTGTGACTATGTTCTTCCTGTAGAAGATTTTATATAGTTAGGTTTGAGAACTCATAATCTTGCCCCAAGACTCTTTTTTAAATTCTTTTTTATTTATTCATTTTTAGGTTATATGTATGTGCTGGATAGCTTTAGTGTAAAGTTGACAGGCTAGGTTGAGGGAGCCTCAATTGGGGAATTTCCTCTATTTGACTGGGCTGTGGCCTTTTCTGTAGGACATCTTCTTGATTATTGAGTGATGTGGAAGAGTCTACCCCATTCTGGGTGCTGCCATCCCTGGGCAGGTGGGCCTATGTTGTATATGAATGCTGGTTGCCGGGCGTGGTGGTGCATGCCTTTAATCCCAGCACTCGGGAGGCAGAGGCAGGCAGATCTCTGTGAGTTCAGGGCCAGTCTGGTCTACATAGTGAGTTCCAGGACAGCTAGGGTTATGGGGAGACCCTGACCAAAAAAAAAAAAATGAATGCGGGTTGAGCAGAGGCCACATGAGCCAGGCAGTAAGCAGCATTCCTCTATGGCCCATGCTCCAGCTCCTACCTCCAAGTTCTGTGCTGAGTTCCTACCTTGGGCTCCTTGATGAACTGTGACCCAGAAGAACTAAGATAAAATAAAACGTTTTTCCCCAAGTTGATATTCGTCAAAGTATTTTGTCACAGAAATGGAGAAATAAGTAAAATTGGTACCAGAGAGTGAGACATTGCTGTGACAGTCCTGACCTTGGTGTTTTTAGGAGGATTGTGGAAGCATTCAGAACTGTGGGCTGGAAAAGCCATTGAGTGATTAGAGTTTGTTGCTGTAGAGCTTGGAACAGTTATGCAGAAAGAGTTGTGAACAATGAAGACCTGGCTTGTGAAGCAGAGACTACAAGGGCTGTTTGTGTGATCTCTTGAATTGAGAACCTTTGGTTTCTGTTCAGCTGGAACTGAAGAATCAGCTGTGATTAAGAGACTGAAGTTAAACCTTTGCTTTATGGGGACAATTGATGCTGGTTAGCTGGGGCTGGAAAATCAGCTGTAATTAAAAAGAGACCAGTATAACTTTGCCAAAATCTTCTGGAAAGTATTTCTTCATGGTCAGCATGGGAACTGTGATCCAGAGGGTGTATGAGACTTCATCTCAAGCTGGAAGCTGGACTTGGTAATGTGTAAGAGGCTTCTGTATGGTTCTGGTTTGAAAGCCTGAAGGGATCACAGAGAGCATCTGAGACTTGACACCCTAAAGTTTTTACTGTCTTACATTGTGATATTTATGTTAGCATCATATCTTTGGACAAGAAATCAAAAGGTTTTGGTTTAGTAGTGATGTATTTGTGTGTCAGGTTGACAAGGGATCAGTTGTGCTGGATAGTTTTAGTGTCAACTTGACATATCTGGGTTGGGGATCCTCAACTGGGGAATTTCCTCCATTGGACTTGCCTGTGACCATGTCCGTAGGCATCTTCTTGATTATTGAGTGGAGTGGCATGGGAGGGTCCAGCCCCTTCTGGGTGCTGGCATCCCTGGACAGGTGGACCTATGTTGTATAAGAAAGCAGATTGAGCAGGGGCCAGGGGAGGAAGCCAGTAAGCAGCATTCTTCTATGGCCTATGCTCCAGCTCCTACCTCCAGGTTCCTGCCCTGATTCCCTGATGAACTGTGACCTGGGAGATGTTATCTAAATAAACCCTTCCTCCCCAAGTTGGTATTGGTCATAGTATTTTGTCATACCAATGGAGAAACAAACTAGAACAGTATATGAGGATATTACTTGCATATACGTAAGTGCACCCGTGTCCTGAACTGCCCATGGAGGTCAAAAGAGGGTATCAAATCTACTGGAACTGGAACTTCAGTTAAGGACAATTTTTACCCACCACATGGGTGTCGGGAACCGAACCTGGGTACTCTGCAAGAGCAGCCAGTGCTCTGAACCACTGAACCATGTTTGCAGGCCCCTCTTGTCTTTCTTTATGTTGCTGAATCAATCAGTCCTGTCACTCAGTGACTCAGTAATGAGAGTTCTAAAGATGTCATTCAATATATTGTCTTCTTTCCTCATATTCACCCTGTAAAAGAAATAGTGTTTGCCAAAGGGGAGGAAAAAGCGTTTGTTCAAATGTGTTCAACCATTTCAGGCACTCAAGTGGAATAGTAAAGTCACAGAGTTTTCTTTTAATTGAACAGGTCTTTTTCCTTTTAACTTAAAAAGAACTATATTTTTTATAATTTTCTTAGAGAATTTTCCATATAGTTGATTACACTGATATTGTTACCAACCAATGAGTTTTTAAAGGCTATTCAGTTATTCATTGTGAGTGATTGTTAAGAGTAGAAATTTACAGCTGTGTTGGTGCATGCCTTTATTTCCAGCACTAGGGAACGATCTATGTGAAATCGAGGAGAGCCTGGTCTACCTATGTAGATGGTTCCAGGCCAGATGGGGCTACAAAGAGAGCCCATCTCAAAGAGACCAGAAAAAAAAAAAAAGATAAAGAACGCACAGGACACTGTTAACATCCTGCATGACTCCTGCCATTCAATACTTGACCCATCTCTCTGTTTCTGCCATTCAGCCACTCAGCATGCTTTGAGAAAGTGGGTGGCTCCACATTATTTCCTATATTGTTCCTATGAGGAATTTCGGAATGCTTATAGGTTTTTTTTTCTTTTCTTTTTTTTTTTTTAAATCTTTTTGAGACAGGGTCTCTCTGTAGCCCAAGCTGGCCTAGAACTTGCTATGTAGACCTGTAGACCACCCTGGCCTTGAACTTATGGAAATCTGCCTGCCTTTGACTCCCTAGTGCTGGGATTATAGGTCTGTTCCACCATTCCCAGATTTTTATAGGTATATTTTTAAAGTTTACCACTGACATAATTTTACAAACCATATTTTATCTCATGTGCCACTTCTGAGTGCCTATAGTAGAAGATTCAATATATTCAGTGTTTTTCTTTTAAAAATATTACCATTATTTCCCTTTATCCCCAAGATTCCTTATATAACCCTCCCTCACCCCTCCCACTTAAATAACCCCATTTTTATCCATATCTCCCTTATTAACCCTTGTTTCCTACTGTTCTTTTCTCTCAGGTTCTTTCTTTTCCTTTACCTCCCTGGTTACTTTTCAACACCCTGGTTCCTGCAGTTATGTCTGGATACACACTCACTTGTAAGGATTTGATGCTAGGATCCCTAGAGGAGAACATACGACATTTGTTTTTCTGAGTCTGCATTACTTCACTTAGCATAACAGTTTCTAGTTCCAGTCATTTACCTGAAAAGTTTATGATTTCATCTTTCTTTACTGCTGAGTAAAACTCCATTGTATAAATGAACCACATTTTCATTATCCACTCATCATTTGAGAGACACTTAAGTTGCTTCCATCTCTTAGCTATTGTGAAAAGAGCAGCAGTAAACATGGATGTACAAGTGTCTCTGCGATAGGATGAGTTCTTTAGGGTATATGCCAAGGAGTGGTATGACTGGGTCAATGGTAGGTTCATTTTTTGTTTTTTAAGAGTTCTCCACATGGCTTTCCATAGAGATTGAACAAGTTTGCAATCCCACAAGGAGTGGATGAGTGTTCCCCTTTCCCCACATCCTCTCCAACATACAGTATCATTTGCTCTCTTGATCTTAGCCTATCTGACTGAGGTAAGATGAAATCTTAAAGTGTTTTCAACTTGAATTTTCCTAATTACTAATGATGTTGAACACCTTTTAAGATGTTCTTAGCCATCTTTATTTCTTCTTTTGAAAATTCTCTGTTGAGGTCCTTAGCTCATCTTTTAATTGCATTACTTCCTTTCTTGATTCTTTGATTTTTGGATTCTTTATATATTCTGCATCATAAACTTCTATCAGAAGTGTCACTGATGAAGATTTTCTCCCACCCTGTTGGTTTTCTATTCTTTTCGTTGCTTGCTTCTTTTGATGTACAGAAGCTTTTTAGTATAATTAGGTCCCAGTTGTTGATTCTAGACCTTATTTCCTGATCAATTGATGTCTGATTGTGAAAGTCCTTTCTTACACCTATATCTTGTAGGTTATTGCCAATGTTTTCTTCTAACAGTTTCAAGTTTCAGGTTTTACATTGAGGTCTTTGGTCCATTTGGAGCTGACTTTGTGCAAGGTGAAAGACAGAGGTTTAGTTTCATTCTTCTACAGGTGGAGATCCAGTTTTGCCAGCACCATTTGCTGAAAATTCTATCTTTCCTCCAGTGAATATTCTTGGCCCCTTTGTCAAATATCAGGTAACTAAAATTGCGTGTAGTCATATTTGGGTCTTCAATTTTGTTCCATTGATCTATGGGTCTATTTCTGTGTCAGTACCATGTTGTTTTCTATGACTGTATCTCTGTAATATGGTTCAAAATCTGTTATAGTAATCCCCCGGTATTGATCTTAGTGCTCAGGGTTGC